TAAATTAATTATCCTAAAATCAAATATCATTTCTATATATTGTTAATTTTTGTTGAGTTAAAATGGAGAGAAAAATAAGAACCTAAGTAAAATAATTAAAAATAAATCGAAACCGGACCTAGAGAAATCAAATTAATTTCGAAACCACGCGAATAACCTAAAAACCAAGTTTTTGAAAAACCAAATAACAAAATAAAAATCGAGCTAAATCGCTGAATTTGAATCAAACAATTGAATCAAACCGGTTCGAATCGAACCGAAATGACCCAGATTTTTCTAGAACCGCCTTTCTTTCTCTTTTCTTTCTTCTTCCCCTTCTTCTTCCTGGGCGCGCGACAGCTCCTCCTCTTCCCTCTCCTTCTCGCTTCCGGCCACCGTTCGACAAGAATGAAGTGGCGATCGATTCCTTTGGCGATACTGGGCACGATTCCAGTCTTCCCTCGCTTCGATCGGACCTCCAGTGGCGCAAATATGGCCTTATCTTCTTCGCGACGCAGCTGCAACTCCGGCGAGATCGAGCGATTCCGGCGACGTGAAGCTTCAAGGTGAGCTCCGATCGACTCCTCCATCCTGTGTGAACATTTTCCATCCAATAAACGACAGTCTTAGTGGAAGAAATCGAAAACACCATGATCGCCGGCAAGGAAGGGACTGTCGGGCTTGTTCCGGCCAAACGAGCGCCACTAGCTCAACAAAACATGATTGTAAGAGCTAAATTTTGGAATCCTCACGAAATTGGAGTCGGGTGGTGGTAACCTTGCAACTTTTCTGTGCAATTTCGCGGGACTTTCGGCCATCCGTGCACGGCGGCGGGCGGCGGCCGGTTTTCGGTGACCGGCCGGCGACACTCCGCGGGCCCCGAGAGACAAGACCCGAGAGACAGAATGTTCCTCTCTTCACGTTGATCACGGAATCGTCGCCCGATTCCCAATTGGTACGTTCTAAGACTCAATTCTCAATTTTTGTATATAAAGAATTAATTGATTAATAAATTTAATTGAGTTATTAAATAGACTAAATTGAATAACAAGAAATTAGGTTATTGGATTAGCTTAAAAATATATGAACATTTATAGTCTTTTGTAAAAAAATTAGATTGATTAGTGTGCGTATTTGGATAGCAAGTTAACTGGTTTAGGATTTTAGAATAATGTAATTGTAAATTAGTTTAGAACATTGTCAAATAAATTACATGATTATTATTATAATTAGGTGATTTGAGGAGAAAATAAATTAGAATTAGTTAGTTAGTCAATTAGATAACCATTAGTTTAAAACTAGCCGATTGTGCATAAGAGTAGTAAGGCGAATTTTAGTTGGTTAACGGTTAGAATCGAAATTTTGATAAATTAAGATTTGGGAGGCCTAGCCATTTTCATATTGATATAAAAATCGAATTTTAATAGGCAGTAGTTATAATTAGTTATTGTTAAAATATGTTTTAGCTGCTTAACAAATTAGTTACCGTAAAGCTAATAATTTAATTAACTAATGACTTAATAAGTGATCTTATATGGATATTATTAGAATTAATTTGTAAATTTTTGGTTGGGTGTTGATATTGTTGTTATGGAAGGAGGATGGGATTTTAAATTGATTGATTGCCCGACGGATGGGCTGTGTGTATTGATTGATAAATATGGAATAATACTGTGTTATCTAAACAGGTGGATAGTCCAATTTTTAGGGGAGGTGCTGCCGAAATTTAATCGATTAGAATTTAGACTAGTTTTAATTAATAACATAATTAATAAGGTTTATTTAGATTTAATTCTATAATTTAATTACATAATAAACAGAGTGCCTCTAATTATTTTTATTCATCCATTATTCATTTAACTTATTCAATAACTTATTTATTTCATTATTATTGTTTTTTATATTATTTATTTTATCCAGTTGTCGTTATTGTTATATTATTTATTTATTTATTTGCATATTGAGTATGATTGTCTAATTGTGATTGGCATTCGATTGTTTAATGGTCAATATGTCATGCATTTAATGCATACTTGATTTAATTGTGTTGTTGATAATGCTATGCTATTTTGGTTGGAATGGGATGGAGTGACCCCACCATGGGGTTTGTTGAGGAACCGGTCTGTGATATGGAATCCTGAATATGTATGATATTTTGGACCGTCGGCGGGGAAAATGGGAGATCGGCGCCCCCTTGTTGCACCTGATGATATAGATTATATGGAAATTCACAGGATGGCTTTTGTTGTTGCGCACCTGATAAATTACTAGATTGATTGTAGCCCGCAGTGCCTCCTTGTTGTGAGCGCTTGATGATCTAGATTGGAATGGAGACCACCGAGTTGCCTCCTGTTGGTTATGGAAAAGAACGAGAGAGTTGGAAAAATAATGAGAGGACTTAGTCAGTGAGGATATAGACCAGTTTGGCCTATGGTGGGATCGGCTCCCTGGTGCACATGTATGTGTATGAGAGGGCGAGCCATGTGTGAGGACGGCTCGTTGGGGTTTCAGGTGGCGCCACTGACTAATTTCCACGTGATATGATTACATGAAGGTGATGACAGTTGTGAGTGCTGGTGATATGCCATTTGTGTGACTGGCTGCGTGAGCATATAACTAGTCGGATGACTAGATTAAAATGTGTACACATTTGTGTGACTGCGTGTGTTGTGCAATAATTAATACTCCTTAGAAAACTCACATGTCTTGTTTAAATTTTTCAGGAAGTAAGTTTCTCTTTCGGTTTAAGCTATTTTTCTTCGCCGCAGGGTTATAAAGAAGTTTTCCTAGTTCCATAATTATATTGCTATGTAATTATATGTATAAGAAGCTATGTATAACAAACAGTTAGTGACTCCGCAGTTGTAGAATTTACATACATCTAGTCGTTAGTAATACAAATGAATAATTCTGGTCTAGCCCATATTAAAAAATGTTGTTGTATTGTAGATGGGCTCGAACTGTGTGAACGTTTGAAGATGAAAATGGCGAGATATAATAAAAATTTTGAGGTATATTGTCATATTAATATAGCGCTGAATGTTTGAAAAATATATTGAATAATAGATTTTAGTTGATTTCAGGCTTACTACGGGGCCCTTCCGGGGACCTAGCTTACCTGGGCCTAGGTGCGGTCCGGCCCCATGGAAATGGGTCATGACAGAGGGTTATCTTGACTTGGTTTATAAAGTTTCTAATTATATTATAGATATAATTGATAATAATTATCTGATTTTAGTGATTCAGGCTTACTACGGGCCTCGGGGACCTTAAGCTTACCTGGGCCCTAGTGCCGGTCCGGCCCATGGAAATGGGTCATGACAGAGGGTTATCTTGACTTGGTTTATAAAGTTTCTAATTTATATTATAGATATAATTGATATATTAATTATTGTATTAGAGCATCATTTATAATTTTGTTTTTTTTTTCAATTTTCGTTAAAAGTCTGTAAGCATATAATTAAGTTTATGGTCACTTTTTTTAAGAAAAAAAATGTCTTTAAAACATGTCATATGTGTTCCTAATATTACATATTATATCATAGTTTTATATTATATATAAAATGTTTAATAATCTTCCATACTTTATGCTCTTTTATATAAAACTTTAATAAATATAATCAAAAATAAAAAGGATTTTAAGAACACTTTAATATTATTTCATTAGTTATATTTATATTGTAAATAAAAAACTTAATTAGTGTAAAACTTTTCAATTAAGGATTGTATTATAATTTTCACTTTATTAAATTTTACAATTATTCTATACACTATTAAAGATTTTTTATTTTATTTTTATCCAATAGAATTAAATTCAAATAAAAATCAATATAATTAATCAAATTACATTACTTGTTTTAGATTATTTAATTGACTTATAATTATAATTTCTAAGTAAGATATGATGAAATTTCCATAAGAGTACAATATATTATTAGCAAATTAATATTATAGTATTATTTAGTTTAATATTAATGTGAAAAGCAAATTAATATTAACATTTTGAGTTTAATATGATTGTGAATAATAAAATAGGACAATATCAGAACGGAATATTCCATAAAAGAAAACATAAAAACATCTCAAGGGGGTGAAATGGGATGGCATGGATCCCTTCTCCTTTAACTAGAAGTTTTGAATTCGAACCCTAAGTATGTAGTCCTTTTAAACACTCGAAAATGAGCGTTTTGCCTTTTTGTGGGCTTGCCCGATGCGATTCCGAATTGTTCGAGAACTGAATTTCGGATATCGGATGATTAAAATAAAAAACTTATAAACACAAAGTTTATTCCTTCTTAAAAAAAATACTGAGTTAATGTAATATTATTGATATATGTTATTAAACATTAAAATAGAATTTTAGGATTTTGTTACGGATCTATTTTGCAATTTATTCATAGTTTTTAAAAGAAAATTAAATATTTTTCTTGTTAATTTTTTAATTTTCTCTTGAAATTCCTAATTAAATTAATATTTATAATTAATTAATGTTTGTCATTTTGTTAAATATTTTTTATTTTATTAACATATTAATTAATCAATAAAATTTAGATTTAAACAGGAAATCAATATGATTAATCAAATACAATTTTCTTTATTTTTTTATCCAATAAAATTAAAATCTTAAAATTTTTTTTCCAATAAAAAAATTTAGCATGATTATTTTTTTTCCGGTCTAAACGTTCCCTCTCTTTACTAATCTCACACATACATCTATGCACACACATTAATAGGGAGAGAGATTGTCATAATCACTAAAATGAGATCAATTTCGTACTCTAAAAATAGGCATAGAGCTACTCGTTGAAAATTAAAAAAATAAAATAATACTAATTCATATTATTTTCTAAAAATTATGTCATTATTGTCTTAGGAGACAGTTACTAATTATATAATTAATTGGATAATATTTATATAATTATATGTGGGGACGTGGAAAAGTAGATGATATATAGATAAGTATTATATTAGTATAATAAAAGGGTTCCTATTAATTTCTGACAATCATATACAGCTCACTAATTGAAAAACAAAAAATAAAAAATAAAAAAATATACTCCGTCAATTTCGCTTCCAACAGCCATAAATAGCCCCATTTCTCCAAACTGAATTTCCACATTGCAACAAAGACACACTAACCATCGGTCCACCACCATGGCAGAAGAGAAACAGCACCACCACCTCTTCCACCACCACAAGGAAGGCGAAGGAGGAGGAGAAGTTGACCACAAGAAGGAGGAGAAACACCACAAGCATCTTGAGCACCTCGGCGAGCTAGGCGCGGCTGCTGCCGGCGCTTACGCTTTGGTAATTAAATCAAATTAATGTTAACCATGGCTTAAAAAGAGTTTTTCTTTTATATTTACTAATATTTTATTATATAAAAACCCAGTTGTGCAATTCATAGTGCTCACTATTTATTTTAATATTTTTATTGAGAAAAAAAAATTTAATTCTGTTTCTTTTTAAGTAATGGGGAGATTTATATTTATCTACTGATATGCAGCATGAGAAGCATGAGGCTAAAAAAGACCCAGAGCATGGCCACAGCCATAAATTAAAGGAGGAGATCGCGGCGACGGCTGCCGTGGGAGCCGGAGGATTTGTCTTGCATGAGCATCATGAGAAGAAAGAAGCCAAAAAGGAAGATGAGGAAGCTCATGGAAAGAAACACCACCATCTCTTTTAATTAAATATAATTATATATCTATTTTGTGTGCTGTGTGTAATGGTTTCACGATATCCATGTTGTTTAATTACCCTAAACTGGAATATTGAGAATCCTTTACTAAACCAGATCATATATACTGTCTGGTTCTCTTTTTATGTATCTAATTATAAAATAATGTTAATTTTGGATATGTTTCTATGAGTTTAATTATTTTCAATAAATTATATTTTGCAATTTGACCTATTTCATTTTATATTTATTGGTGAAAACTACTGTATTGACTTCCTCAACCTAACCTTAATTATCTTGTTAAGATATTAGATGCCCAAAATGTTAGGGAACAGATTTTGATTAGGTCTATTAATTGATGATACTATTGTGTCTTTACTACCTCTTTTTGAAATTTATTAAAAAAAAAAGAAATGAACTGTCTTTAATCTTGATTTTCTACAAAGTGAAAGCTTCCTCTCTCTTGAATTTTAGAAGGGTAGAATTTGTTTTATAATGTAGTGTTCTTATTTTACTTCTTTTTTGCCAATTAAAGTCTGTTTTTAGAATCAAGAAAATTCCCTCTTTTGTTTTTTTTTTTTAAATAGATTAAAAATTTTATTTATTTTTTCATTAACATTGGTATTCCTACCCTATTGAATTAAAATTAAATCTTGCTCGTATCGGGTCGGTCCATTGCTCCATCCATAAGGATCAATTTCTCAACCTCGATTAAGGAAAAAATAAGAGTGTCGAATTACTCATAGATAAATTAAAAAATTTCTTTAATCGAGTGTCAGTCATGTAAAGTGTTTTGTACACTGAATCGCTGTTAACTTGCTCAAACATAAAGGTTGATGGAATTTGGTCCACACAAAATTGACACTATTTATTTGTTATAACATTAGTTGAGGTTATTAATTAATTATATAGAATTACAGCCTCAATTCACAAACCTAACGCCCAAAGTTACTTGATATGTATCTCTACTTTCTTACGCACATGAAGATTAGATAGCAACGTATAGCTATGGATTAAAAAAAAAAAAAAAAAAAAAGAAAGAAAGAAAGAAAAAAAAAGAAAAAAAAAGAAGCTAATTTATATAATCTACATACATTTTCCATAAGAGTTGTGCAATTATTTGTATAGCTTTTCCAATGACATAGGCCCAAGACATGTTTGCAATCATGGCTCATGTCGGAAATCAGATATGCAGATGGAAATGAAAAGTGAGGTGGATAGAGATAAACTCATAAAAGGTGAGATATTGTTGTATCTGACACCACTTAATCATCTCTTTCTTACATCTAATCATTCATCACGCACCAATTTAGATATTTATGATTAATCTGCAAAAAAAAAAAAAAAAAAAAAAAAAAAAAAAAAAAAAAAAGAAAACATGTGAAAAAGCCCCACGTGATGTCATCTTACGTTTTACCACTCTTTTCAACCTTGTATTAGTGATTTTTTTTTTTATGAAATAACCCTTTATTAGTGAATTTCTTTTTAATTATTTAAATTGAAAGACCAAAATCATTATTATCTGAATCACCATAGTAAATGAGCAATTAATTAATAAAATAACACCAAAGATATCACTATTAGTATTACTTTATTAATTTTTTAATTATTTATCAGAAGTTAGAAATTATGAATTAAAACTAAAAGGCTACACAGATAAGTATTTCTTCAGCCAACTCTGCTTGGAATAAAAATTACAACAGAGAAAGAAAATTTTAAGAGCGTTCCTAGCTAAACCATGAGCTAGACCATAGCTCTCCATAAAAGGATTCGAATGTTATTTGGATTTGGGAGACAACGCACAGATTTCCAAAGTGCAGTAATTATTTATATAGAATCTTATTTCAAATCTAATTTTAAACTAAATTTTCTATACAAAACTATTTATATAGAATAATTATTTTGTTTTCTCTATTTTTAATGTTATTTCGGGAATTAAACGTGGTCGTAGTACGATAAATGTTCTACGACGAGAAGTCTTTATATAATTATATTCTCCTCAAGGACCTAAAGAGCCCAATAGACATTATGGGCTTCATTAGTCTAGTCCATGACGAACCAGATTTTGGAGGCCATTACCAATCACCCTGCCCAAAAAGGCAAAAACCTTGTCCAGGAACACTAATGTGCATGCATGGTAGGCTCTTAGTTTAGGTAATTAGGTATTGGACGATCATTAATAATGGTTTCTATTAATTGAATTTGAGGTATATTAATCAAATTGGCCTAATTTTTTAATTATCTATAAGGGATGATAATAACCCAACCACATGTATCCACACTTTTACTCAATCCACCACGTGTCAAACATTCTTAATGCAAGCACTAAAAAGTTTAGCTTTTGCCCCCAAAAATTAAAAAATTAGTAGAAGAATATGAAATTTTATTTTTTAAAAAAAATGATTTCATGTCTCATTGATCATAATGAAATGCAACTATCTTGCATAGTTTTCTTCACCACTAACTATATATTAAGATCCAATTGGCAATGGAGAGGCTCTTACCTTTTTCTTTATTTCATGATTGGTCATCATTTGAAGCCAACATTTTATCTAACACTTTTTTCGCTTTTGTTTCATTTTATTTTATAATTTGGATTTAGGGTTTTGATTTTTTCTTATGAAATTGTACTTTAGGTATCATTAAACCACCTTCTTATTCCTTGCACACGAGTGGGGAAGATAGGATGGGTTGTGAATCCAACTATTAGCTCCACGATTGCCTTATTGATAAAGTTTACCTAGAATTTAATTTCACCTCCATAAATATTTATGTTCTTAATTATGTTATCAAAAGTATTTTTTTTCCCCCTACTTAATACATATTCAACAACAAATTCATTATGTGATAAAATATTAAAAATGAAGTTCATCTCATAATCAAGTTGGCGTACCATGCTATTCCATTTCGACCTTTGTGGTTTAGTGTAATTTCAACTTATTATGACCGCCATATAATTTCACCTTAATTAATACTCATTTAATATTCATTTAAACTTTACGATAACCACACTCTAAAAGAGAAAGTTAAGAGTGTTTACACCCTAAAATTAAATTAAGGATTGATTTGTAATAAAAAATATATTTTCACGTAGCCTAATGCAAAATCCATTTTTTATTTGTGAATAATGAGAAATATCACCACTAACATCATTACCTTTCGATGTTGCTGGTTGGTTCAAATTATAAAACTTTCGATGTTGCTGGTTGGTTCAAATTATAAAACAAAACTAATTAAATAGATTTTTTAGTTTAAATAATATTAATATATGTATATTGTAAAAATAATGGAGGTGCACGGGCTAATGTTAGTTACAACATAAATTCTAAATATGCATAAATCATTCCAAATTCATCAAATCCTAGGATTATCAAATTGTTAAACTTTTTGTTTTTCAAAATTTATTTTCAACTATACTTCTCACGTACAATAAATATATAAATTAATACATAATACCATATATGTCTATCAATATATATAAACATATAAGAATTAAAATGAAAAAAAATCAACATACCAATTTTGAAGTCAATGTTCGAACTCGAAATGCTTTCTATGAATTAACTGCTTTCTATGAAAGCAAAATTTTGCAATAATCAATTATGTCTTCAAGTGATAGATGATAGCTATTTTAAATTAGAATTTTTTTTTTCCTCCTTACAAGTAATATTTCGAGTTTGGATTTAAATTCTAGTTAAATTAACCCGAGCCCAGTTATGGTCTCATGAAAATATATTTTTTATTGCAAAGTCAACTATTAATTTAATTGTGGAGTGTAAATACTCTCAACCTTTTATTTTAGGATACGGCTGTCACAAAATTCAAATTAGAGCATAAGTGCAACAAACTCCAAAGTTCGGGGTATAAATGTATATTAAGCCTATGAAGTTTACTGCAAATATTTAGACAATGATAACATTGAAATAAAATAATTAATGTTATTTTGATTTTTTAAAAGCATCATCTGAAATGAAAATAAAAAAATAAAAAACTATCCAACTTAACGGGAGGGAGAAAATATTCTTCAGCTCCATAGAATTAATTCATAACATAAGTTATTGTGTATTCAGAATTTCGATCTGGGAGAGTACATGAATCAAAACTAAGAATCATTATTCAATATAAACCTATTATGCATAAATGTTTCAAAAATCATGCTATTCTATACTATTACGTGAATCAAATGATACCCATGGTCAAATGACATACCAATCTTTATATCAGAAGATTGCACACCTACATGAAATGGCTTCATCTTCGCGTTACGAACTACCATTGTAGCTCTTTCAAAAATAATAATAATAATAAAAAAAAAAAAACCCTACGGTTGTAGCTATCTCCAACTATAAAAATACCATTTGGGATTTTTTGAGGCTTGATTTTTTTTTTTTTTTTTTGAAGGCTTGATTTTTTTTTTTTGTTTTTTTTTACCCAAAAGCTGAAAGTTTTACCTTTTAATTAATTCATTGCCTTTCAAATTTCTCAATATGCTAGGTTTCTGCAGCTAAGCATCTCTTACTATTCAGTCCCTCAAATTATTTTCATTAGTTTAATAATCATTAATTTTCTTCACGAGAAATTTTTTTTTTTTTTTTTTTTTACCCAAAAGCTGAAAGTTTTACCTTTTAATTATTCATGGCCTTCAAATTTCTCAATATGCTAGGTTTCTGCAGCTAAGCATCTCTACTATCAGTCCTTCAAATTATTTCATTAGTTTAATAATCAAATTAATTCTTCACGAGAAAAGAAATAATCCTAAATTTATTAATAATCTTTCTCAAATTTATTAATTATTTTATTTCAACTCATTACCTATTTCTCGATAGCTATAATCAAATACGAATTAAATCATTAAAATCAATGATTATTTAAGAAAAATACTCTGAAAAGTCAAATCTTAACTCTTGCATTAAGTTATTGTTTTCATTTTTTTTTTCTTATGAATAAACTTTCTTTCTTCCGATAGCAATTATTGAAATAAATCAATCTAAAAAAATAACTAAGATTGAAAATATTAAACACAATAATAAACTTTATCATAAAAAAATCAAATCTAATATCATAAATTGGAAATCGAATTAAGCTATATTAAATTTCTAGCAACAAAATTTACTAGTTCAACATTATAAAGAAATTAAACCCAAACAAACTTGTAAAAATAAACATGATGAGAATAACTACAAATAAAGTTTAAGAAGAAAAACTTTATAGACGCTTGGCTTGAT